CACCACCACAGACACACATACACCACCACAGACACACACACACCACTACAGACAAACACCACCACAGACACACACACACCACTACAGACACACACTGAGTTAAAGGGCTTCCACCAACCACTGTTTACATCCGACCACAGAGACGTGTCAGCTCGTTTGGACGGGACTGGACGAAGTCACAAATATTCTTAGTCTATGTTTATAATGATCACAGAGAATATCACATAATTATTTCTTTAAACCTTCAGTTGAGGTTCAGTTGCAGCAAAACTGTCGATGACAATTATATTTTGATGTATTTGTTGTACACATAAAAAACCAAGAAAGAACCAGAATAGTTTTAATTTACTGGTTATTCTGACCAGATTCACTGTTCTGCAGTATTCAGGAGGACACATGGACAAACAGCAAAATCAAGAATAACAAAGCTGAGCAGACATAAATAAACTGAAAGAAGTGACTTTATTCTAGAAGCCAGTTGATGGAGAGACAACAATGGACACAACATACGATAAATCCTTAGAGTTTTAAATGAGGGAAAGGTTCAGGAGCCTCACTGCATCAAGAAATTAAAACAGAAAAGTTTAATGTGTTGTTGTTATTAATGAATCCGTTCATTAGATGATGAATTCATGTTTCACTGGCCCCCATCCAGAGTTTGTGCTGCCCCGTGTTCTTTGTTAACTGACATGTTCGTCTGTACTTTACCTGTCAGACACGTCAGGTATTCACCCGAACCCCTGTCACTGATTACGTCGTCATCCTCATCACTGAATGTGACTTTACGGCCACATATTCATTAAGACTAGTTTCCACGGTGACAGATGAGAGGGGGGGGAAGTAGCAGCGGCCACATGCTGGTTAAATGTCACTTCAACTCTTATGCACTTTAATGTGTCCACCCTGCTAATGGCTGCTTTGGTCCACTGTCACTCTGCACACTGACATTTACCCACATGAGTCAGTGTCAGTGACCACGAGAGCAGAATGAAAGGTTTTCTGCAGGAATCCCTTTTTCTCATGGCTTTTGGTGAGAAGTAAAAGTACTGACAAAGATACCATTTAAGATGAGTATTGTATGGTAATTAAGTGGGGTTTTTTTTTAAGAAGGCAATAATACTTGGATTATTTTTCTAGTTAGGATTGAATCGAACTGTTCTCCACATCACTCTTGTTAATTACATTAATAATGGTGTTGTTGTTTACATATTAGAAATCTCATTTTTATCGAAAAACAACTAAAGAACTGTTTTCAGTCATAATAATGTAAAAATAAAAAGATGGATAGGAAAAGTTGTCACATTTGACAAACTGTTAACTTGAAATGTCAGACAATTAAGTTTTTATCACTCATTTGTTTAATTTTCTGTTACTGGCTAATTGATTTAGAAAAGTACAGATGATTTGCAGAGGTTTTGCAGCGTGGTGCATCGTTTTCAGTTACCATTTTAATTTGTTTGTGCTGCAATTGACTCCAACCATCCGTCAAACGCTGCAGAATGTTGACCCACTGAAGCCTTGTTAAAAAAACTAACCAGAAACCATTGTGGCATTCGACAAAAACAAAAACCTGATCCACCAAACATTATGCATTGACTGCAGCCCTTCTTGTTTCTGTGGATCAGTTTGTGTGGGTGTTCTTCAAGTAGACTGCTGTCTGGGGTGTTTTCTGTTTCCTCATGATGTGATGTATTGTTTTGTCTCTGCAGGGAGACGTGGTCCACTGGTTGGCCTGTTCACTGTACGCAGCCTGCAGGAAGGGATCTACTCCCACGGTGGGTAAAGGGCTGATGGAGGGAAACTGTGTCTCTCTCACCAGGATCCTTCGCTCCTCCAAACTCAGGTCAGTCACTGTTTACTCTGCAATACCCGACAGTGGAAGACATATTATGTTATTCGTCTTGATTCTTTCATAAACTTAATTTTAGCACCATTCACTGTTCCAATTCTGTGTCAGGTGTTCAGTAGTAATTTCATGTTGTTTGTATGTTGCTCCTAACGTTCCCCTCCATGTCATCCAGTCTGATCCAGTTCTTCTCAAAGATGAGGAAATGGGCCGACATGTCCAACCTCACACAGAACTTCCGGCTGCGCATGGAGCAGCTGGAGCGCAACTTTGAGGTTTCCACGGTGATCTTCCGCAAATTTGAGCCCATCTTCATGGACATGTTTCAGAACCCACAGGGAGCCGAGCCGCCGCGGCAGCCACGCAGCAGGAAACACAGGTACCAGAGACACACAGATATTTTTACTTGTATTTGTTCTTGTTATGTTTCCAGCCCTAAAGGTGGAAAATGAGTGCCATGTTTTTTTAGTCTCCCTGTCACATTTAGTCATGGTATCAGTAATAACCACCATGAAGACACAAACGCACACTGACACAGAACGTTCTCCAGCTTGGTGTGACTGAGTGTGTGTGTTCTCCCTCTGGCTCTGCAGGCGGCTGCCGTGTCACATCAGTGATGTGTTCAAGTTCTGCTGGACGTTGTTTGTCTACACGAAAGGTACCAAGAAACAAACACACGAGTTTCCACCTGCTCTGTGAATCTTATTTTTGTTTGTTTTGTCTCAACCACTTTACATCTCCGAATAATGTTGAAATTATTGGTTTATTTGAGTTAGATCTAGTTATTTTATCAGTCCATGTTTTGGGTGATTTATTTTATTATTTATTCTGTTCAGTCAAAATAAAAGATATTTAGTTTTTAGCACTGAGCTGTAATAATTTAGAATCCGAACCCAGCAAATTTTTTTAATTGGATTTATCCACCAACAGCTGTAGTTGTGAAGCAGATACGTCTGTGATAAAGATGATGTGACTGTGTATGTTGTGTGTGTGAAGGTAACTTCCGTATGATCGGCGATGACCTGGTGAACTCGTACCACCTGCTGCTCTGCTGTCTGGACCTGGTGTTTGGAAACGCTCTGCTCTGTGCCAACAGGAAGGATCTGATCAACCCAACGTTCAGAGGTAGAGAGAGGGAGAGGGAGGGAGAGAGAGAGAGAGGAGGAAAAATCAGACTTCAGCATTATTTGTTCAACATGTAGAATTTTAGTTGTTGCAAGACAAAAACTTTTACAAGATTTACCAAACATGTTGCAGAAAAATCTGATCCATGACATTGGGAAAAATGTCCATATTCCTGAAAGTGTCTTTGTTCTGCCGTGGGACAATTCTGTGTCCAGGGCTTAGAAAGGTCCTGGGAAGTCTGGAAGTTACGTTTTGTTTATGTGTGTAGGTCTTCCTGCTCTCTACCGCGCTGATGGTCACATTTCAGCGGACGAGCCTCCTCCGTGTGTGTTGGAGAGGTTGTGTGAGCTGCACGACGGACTGGTGGTGGAGGCAAAAGGCATCAAACAGCACTACTTCAAACCCTACGTACAGAAGCTGTTGCAGAAACGGGTACACACACACAACCTGTATTCTCTCTCTCTTTCCAGCGGCAGCTTATTCCCCTCTTCCTGATCATTTGACTCTGGAGAAAAATTAACATTTTTATATTTTGCACCAACAGCATTTAAATGATTTCCAACCCAGATATAAGTTGTACTTTTTGAAACACATTCTGCTTTGGATCCATTTCTTGTTGTAAACTCGTGTTCGTCTGAATCTCTTATGTTCTTTGATCAGATCCTACGAGGGAACGCAGAGCTTTTAACAGAACTGTTGGATCCTCAGAACTTCATTGATAACAAGTGAGCTACAATGCCGCAAGATCACTTTCAGGGAAATTTGAGTAGTTAGAATTTCTTCCCTTATTTACAAGTATTAAACTCTGTTTGTTTTCCTCAGTAAAGCCATAAATAAAGAGTATGAGGAGTACGTGTTGACGGTGGGAGATTTTGATGAACGAGTGTTTCTTGGAGCCGATGCCGACGAGGAAATTGGAACCCCGAGGAAGATCGTTCAGGAACCGTCCGCCAGCCAAACGACCAATCAGAAGCAGCTGCAGCAGCATGTAGAGAAGGTAAACACAATCCTGACGTTCTGTACGCAACAGAACTAAAGCCTTTGAGAACATCCAGATGTTACACAAGAACACGTTGAATATAATCATCTGTGTCTTTCTGCAGTCCGGCTCCCTCGCCCCCTCCACTCCTCTGACTGGACGCGTCTACCTGAAGGAGAAGGACCTGCTCGTCACGCCCGTCTCCTCGGCAACGCAGAGCGTCAGCCGGCTGCAGAGCATGGTGGCCGGGCTGAGGTCGGCCCCCAGCGACCACCTGATGCAAATCTTCAAGTCAGTAGAAGATTCGCTCACTTGATTCTTGTTGTTCTGGGTTTGTTCCCTCGTGGTTGATGCTCTTATTTTAAGTGGGTTTGGATAAAAGCATCAGCTAAATGAAATGTAATTTAATGTCAGTCGAGTGGAAAACTGTTGTTTAGAGCAAATCTGAATTTGTCATTAATTGTACAGATCAAAACAAAGTAGTTAAACATAAACGGGTACCACAACATAAGCACATGTACTAACAGTGAGTTCTGTGTTTGTATTAAAGGTCGTGCTCCAGAGATCCCACAGACCTCATATTGTCCAGGGTGAAGACGCTGGGACAAACTTTCAAAGCACATTACACCAAAGACTCTGAGGACACACCTGGATCTCATATAGGTAACACACACACCCACACACACACACACACACACACAGACAGAGACACATAGAAGAAGCATAATAAACATTTAGGTGTCAAAATAATCTGATATAATAAAATAATCCTCCTGCAACATAAACCCAGGAGTCAGTTTATTAAGAACACCATGTTTTTTAAAAGGTTTCAAATGTTCAAGGTTTGTTTGACTTTAGGAAACATACCTGTGGTTACTTATTTTTACTTGACTTACCGACTTCTTACTAATTTTCTGTTTCAGACTTTGCTGAGAACCGTCTGAAGCTGGCTGAGATCCTCTACTACAAGATTTTGGAGAACGTCATGGTTCCGGAGACCAAACGGCTGCAAGGCAAAGACATGAGTGTAAGCAGCAGCAGTGTGTTATTGTGTTCATACATTTTCACTCAGTCGCCAGTGACCATTAGCTATGTTTTAATAATCATGATATGAAGGGTTCACTTGTGGTAATTTCACTCAAAAGGTGGTGAAGACAAAAATTGGAGCTAAAATACTTGATTTAGAGATTTCCAGATCTGCTTTTTTTATGTTAAATTAATATAAATCTTTGTTTCCAGGTGTTGTTGGAGCAGGATATCTTCCACTGCTCCCTGATGGGCTGTTGTCTGGAGGTGGTGTTGTTTTCCTACAGCTCCCAGAGAACCTTCCCATGGATCATCAGCGTCTTCAAACTGGCCCCGTTCTACTTCTTTAAGGTAACAAACACGTTTCTGACTCTGTTCCTGCCTCCTTCAGAAAAAACAGCATTTGATTCATGAAACCTCTCAGTTGCTGTGAAACCCCCAAAAAACCTTGTGTCTGACTCCTCAGTAATATAAATACAATACAGCATATCAATACAACTGTGTGTGTGTGTGTGTGTGCAGGTGATCGAGGTGTTTATCCGCTCAGAGGAAGGTCTGTCCAGAGACATGGTGAAACATTTGAACTCCATCGAGGAGCAGGTTCTGGAAAGCAGAGCGTGGACTGCGGACTCGGCCCTGTGGAGCGCCCTGCAGGCTGCTGGAAACAAGGTCCCCACAGTGGAGGAGGTTAGCAGGACGTACAAACATTTACACGCTTCTCCTCCTCTTCTTTTTGCTCCTTCTTTCTGTTTTTCATTGACTGTTTCTCCCCCTGTCCAGGTGAACTTTTCCTCCAGCCTCGACACAGGTTCTGGTTCAGCTTCTGGATCCACCAGTGGAAGTCAGTCCCACCTGCCTCTGGTCGCCCTCTCTCCCATCATCCACCCACGCATCAGGGAGTTCAGATCCGGTCTGGGCAGTGTCCGCAAAGGTGGGTGTTGTGTTTGTGTTGGTCAATATCATTAAAATGATCAACTCTGTCCATTTAATACAACCTTGTTTTTAGCCAAACCCCAAAAAGAATAAAGCCAATTAATTTAAAAAATGATTTCTATTGAAGAATCAACTGCAACAGAAGTCAGTAGAGTTTTATTTTTCTATAGATTTCGATTTAGTTTTTCCACTTACACTTTAAAATTGTCTTAGTTTTGCCTTAAAAACTCTGGTTTCATGTTTTAATTTCTTTAATAACCTTGTAAATGGCGTCACTTCCTCCATCTTCCAGACGTGCCTCCATCTCCGCTGTCGGTCCACGACAGGTACAGCTCTCCTGCAGCCGGCAGCGCCAAGCGGCGTCTTTTTGGCGACGATCCCCCGGCCCTGGCTTCAGGGCTGAATCCCTGCTTGAGCCCGATGTCGTCTCCGGCTAAAAGGTTAACGTTCAGCTCAAGTGCCACCCTGAAGATCGGAGGCCAGGTGACACCCACCACTGTCCTCAGTTTCCCACTGCAAGGTAGATGACACGTGCACACACATTTTAATCCAACACAAAAATAAACAAATAGCATTTTCACATTCACTTTTGTCAAAGATGAAACCTCCGTACTTATCTCCTCTGTGAATATCTGCAGGTGTGAATAATGAACGCACCATTACGCTGATCCCAGTTCAGCCGTGCGACTCCTCTGGCACCGTCACTGCTCAGTTTCTGCTCACCGCCTCCCCGAGCAGAATCACAGCCCCTGCACCCACGACCTCTGACTCCCAGACGGGAAGTGGACGACCACGACGCACCGGGTCGCTCGCTCTGTTCTTCAGGAAGGTAGGAGCTGGAAAACAGACACAGATTTAAGATTTACATGTGTCTGATGACTGATCTCATTTATTCTTTTCATGACCAGAAACATTTGAACATCCAACGAACATGAAACAAACACAACATCAAAGTTTAATCTGCCTAATTTGTTCTTATATATTAATTGGTATCTGGAACGTTCCCTAATATCAGCGTCAGCTCCTAAAATCCATTCTTCTACCAGTGATGTTCACTTCTCCAGGATGTCTGAGTCTTCTCACCAGCTCGTCCTCTGTCTCTTGTCTCAGGCGTATCACCTGGCCAGCGTTCGTCTGAGGGATTTGTGCGCGAGGTTGGACATCTCCTCTGAGCTGCGTGGGAAAATCTGGACGTGTTTTGAACACGCTCTGGTTCACTGCACTGACCTGATGAAGGACCGACACCTCGACCAGCTGCTGCTCTGTAGCGTCTACATTATTTCCAAAGTGAGAAAATTAACTCGGTCAGAAATTTGGCAGCTGAGGTTTCAGGAGGAAGTGTTTCTGGCAGCGGCTCTGAACAAGACGACTGTCGGAGAAAACCTCACTATATAAATATGTATATATATACACATACTTCACTAACAACCTTATGTTGAAAGAAATCTTATCTCTGCATGTGTGACACCTGAGATTTAATGGGTTGACAGAAACTCACCTTTATTTTGACTGTGTGGTTCCTTCCTCTCTTCATCGTAGATCACCAAAGAGACTCACACCTTCCAGGACATCATGAAGTGTTACCGCAGCCAACCACAGGCCAGCAGCCATGTGAGACACACACACACACACACACACTATCAATGTGATGCTAAAATTATTAGAAATAATTATGATATAGCTATTTTTATGAATGGATGTCTGACAAGTATAAACTAATCTCATTTAAATAATGTTATTTTACAATGTTTGTGTTTGTGCGTGCAGGTTTACCGCAGTGTGTTACTGCGACACAGAGAACCCAGAGAGCAGGTGGCTGATGAGAACATGGAGGTGGATCCTGTTTCTGGTGGCGAATGTGAGAACGCACACACACACACACACCGGTTTACACGTTAGAGGTCAAATATGTTTTCTGAGAGGAAAATTAGAAGTTAGTCAGGAGTAAGATTTAAGTAGTAAAACTTTCTTTCCCGTTGACTCGGAGCCCTGGGAATCAATCGATTTGCAAAATGGTTTTTAAATTAATCAACCCTATAACTCAAGAGGATTCTGTTAACAATGACAAGAGGGCAAGTCAATTTACAAATTAGAAAAGTTAGAAGAATCTAGAGTCTACAAACATTAATTCAAATTATTTATCTGTTGGTTTCTTCAGCTGCCGAGAAAACCAATCCGGTCTCAGGAGAAGCAGACTGCGCCCAATCAGGCGAGGAGGAACGTGGTGACCTCATCCAATTTTACAACGCTGTGTTTGTCCTGAAGATGAAAAGCTTCGCTCTGCGATACGCCACCCATGATAACCGGGTACGGTGTGAGATTACACGATGACTCTGAGTTACATCGTGATTTATGTGAAATGAAAAACACAACCTGATTTGTTTCCTCCCTGCCCCCCCCCAGGCGGACGCTCCTCCTCTCTCACCGTTCCCGTCGGTTCGGGCTCAGCCGCTCTCTCCTCGTCGAATCTCTCAGAGACACTCGCTGTATGTGTCGCCCCACAAGAACTCCGCAGGATGCCTCACGCCCAACTCCTACACGTACAGGATCAACAGCAGCCCGTCCAAGGTACGAACACTCAGAGGAACAGAGTCCGACACGGTTTTAATTCCTGATTCATCGGTTCAGTGACGTGATAAAATAAAAAATGGTGGAGCTGGAGTTTAATCAATAATGAAAATAATCGTCATGATGTAACCCCCCCCCCCCCTCCAGGAGTTATCAGACATCAACCGGATGATCAGACAGGGCTGTGTGAGCAGGAAACGTGCCTTCACCATGGAGGGGGACGTGATGATGTCATCAGCGGTGTGCGACTCCCCCAGCAAGAGGGCGTGTCCTGAGAACGGCAGCAGCCCGGACGTGCTGCTGAAGCGGCTGCAGGACGTGGTGTCCGAGCGGCAGAGTCGCTGACGGATTAAACCCCCCCCCAAAAAAATTACGCATTACTCACTACTACTTTTCTTAACGGACGCTTGTAAATCTTTGACCTGTTCGTGTAAATATTATGACCTGTGGGTCAGTCAGTACATTCATTCATTTTGTTTTATCAGAAGCTAATTTTAATTCCTCCTGTGATGTTGTCACAACCTCCAAACCCTCGGCTTTGACACCAGTGATATGACGATATCTAAAATGTGATATTTGAGCACCGTCATGACGAGAAATACACAAAAGAGAAAAGAACAGTCCCTGAAACATGTTTGCGTCAGTTTAGTTGAATTTAATTCTTGAAAGATGAACTCGGCATAAAATGAAAACACAACCCAAAAACATTTCAACATATTTTCTTACATACACAACACCGATGTGTAAACTTAAAGAAAAAAAAAAAACCAATATCGAAAGCAGATATTTTCAGTTTTACAGATAAACGAAAAAGTGATAATGAAACATTTTGATGAAACATTTTCCAGTTAGATAAAAACAGAGTCTGAACCAAACTTCACGTGTTTGGTTTCACATCGTAACTTGGGGACAAAAGGATGTTGCTCTCTCAACTTCCTGTGATTGGACCAAAAGTCCAAACTATCCCCAAAAAAACTTAGGTGCGTTGGTCTGGACCGAGATCTGACGAACCTTTCACCCCTGATGTTTATGTTCAGACTAAACTGAGTCTGAACATCTGGATTAAACACGGACGTTTCCTAAATGTCAAAAAAGGAAATAAGTGGTTTCATTTTTAGTCGCATCAGAATTTTAACAGCTCAAACAGATTTGAAAAGTTTGAACTTAAACTATAAATTTGAACCTTTAACTCGTGTAAATAGTTTTACATCAAGCTTTATTGTACATTTTCTAGTCTGAATAAGTTTTTCCCACATTATCTGCTGACGTCTCTACTGTTGGTAGAGATTTCAATGCAGAGGAAATGTTTTTATTCTTTTACTAGTTTTATTGTTGAATCCTTTTATGGTTATGAATTGTTGTGTTATTCTGTAATAGGTTGAATGCTAACAACAGGAGTGCTGGACTGAAGCAGCGTTTTTTAACTGCACTGTGTAGTATCTACACTTAAATTTAATTTAACATTTTATTGAATTCATTCATGAAACAGCACTGCTGTTAGAAGTCAGTCTCTGCAACTTCAAACTTTAAAACCTGTGTAGTTCGTACCTGCTCTGCTCGACGCAAAAGTAGAGTTTTAACAAACATTTAACGGCTCTTTGTAAAATGTAAATTGAAAATTGGGTTTTTGCTCAGATGGAAGAGAGTTTGTCATCGGGACACAGATCTGTGTCCCTCTGGTGTTTTCTTCTGTGTGAATCTTTTCGAAGACGTTTGTATTTTCTACAAACTGTTACATTTTTGTCCAATAAAACTATGAGCTCTGTTTATTTGTCTTCGTTTTCTTCGCAATTCGACCCCAAATCCCTCGACTCTTTAAGATCGCAGGAGGAAAAAGCTCCATTTTTGTTCGCAAAAGTTATTATTTTGTCATTTTTCTACATAGTTTTCTTTCAGGTTCATCAGGACTCAGTAATTCCTCTAAATCTGCGGTTCCCAAACGAGGGCTCGAGTTATTCTGCAACTTGACACAAAAACGACCATTTGCAGATTTCTTGTGAGTCGCCAGGGGCCCGTTCTCTCAAACTGATCATAGACAGACAGCAGGGGTCCAACAGTCTCTCAGGCTGAGATGAATTCAAATCCCTGAGATTCAGAGTGCAGTTCTTTGTAACAGTGTAAATTAACAGGAAGCCAAAAAGCTTCAAGTCCTCGTGAACGCTATATCTTCTCCTTGAAAGCAATAAATGGATTTAAAATGAATCCAGAGAAGAATTCAGTCACAGACCCTTGTGGGATTTATTTATTAAGGACTTGTTTTATTAAGGAATTGTTTTTGTTTTCTCCATCTCCCATCTACTAACATGGAGGAGGTGGGTTTTCATTAAGGTGTTCATTTATTTGTGTATTTATTAATCTCTTTACACATTTATAAGTGTTCATTAACCTATTAATCAATTTGTGTGTTAATTAATATGTCCTTTTATTCATTTGTGTATCTATGATGTGTTTATTCGTGTATTTATTTATATGTTAATTGATTTATTTGTGTATTTAATAACGTGGTCAGTGGTAGTATGTTCATGTATTTACCTGTGTATCTGTATTTGTTTATGTATGTGTGTGTTTCTATTCATGTTTTTACTTATTTGTACATTTATAAATGTGTATATTTGTGTTTTTATTCATGTGTTTATCTGTCACCAGCTGTGGTTGGGCTGGTTTTGCGCATGGTCAGTTTTAACACCCTCCTCTTTTCTCTCTCTCTCTCTCTCTCTCTCTCTGTCTCTCTCTCCATCCTCTCCTCCTCCTCCAGCATCATCCTCCTCTCCGGATGCGACGGTGTCCACGGTCGCCTGCCTCCCGCCTGCCTCGCGCCTGCTCCCGGCTCCAGCACCAGGTAACGCCCCGCTGTCCCCTCGGTCACTTTTTTACGCATCGACCCTCCGCGTCCTGTCGGTGAAAACCCCGCAGATGATCCGTGTTTATCCCGGGTGGAGGCTGCCTGCCTGTCTGCCTGGATACCGACTCCATCCCCGGTGTTAACCTCCACCCTCCCACCCCTCCCTCCATCCCTCCATCCACCCCTCCCCGTGAAATCTTTGTTGCATTATTTTACTTCTGCACTCGATCATCCGGAGATACCGACTCTCCCTCCGCTCTCAGTCCGCGTTATCAGCCGTCAGGTCGGGATAAGAGGGACGTGTGAGTCGGCGTTGTGCTTATCTTCTTCTTCTCCGGCTAATCCTGATATTATCTCACACACACACACACACACACACACACACACACACGGGGTGGTGCTCCAGGTTTTGGCACTTTGGTGCATCACAAGGTCATGTCGGTGGTGATGGTGGTGGAGACGCCCGGCGCGGGGTGTCACATCACCGGGGTGAAGTGACACCTTTGCTCCCTGGATGTGTTGATGGACGGAATCTGTCAGTGGACGACTTCACTCCGGAGCTTCTCCGGCA